GCTGCTTTAGATTATGTAGACTGTTCTTTTTTTTAACTTTATTGTTAATGCAATAGCTATTTGTAACCTCTCTCTCCATCCATCAACTGAAAATATGCCAATTTTCTCCTCAACATCAACATATTTTTGTATGTCACTGTTAATTTAACCACATAAGGTATGAAACTCTAAATAAACAAAATGCTGCCAATAAATCACAGTTTATTTGTTAGAAACATTTGTTTCTTAAGCATATGACTAGCAAAACATCACATTCACTCACTAGGCATTCTGGCATCATTCTCCTTAGTATAGGGAAGATAACATCTAAACAAAATGCCTCAAGACTGGAGACTACATCAACATCTGTGGAGGCTTCAGAGTTGCCAGTCCCAGACAAATCTAGTACACTTTCCCACTGCCTCCTACTGAGATAAACTGCCTGTACTTTTGGATGCAAAAGGACCATTGGTACCATTAACTCTTGGAGGTTATAGAGAGGAATTCTGGGAGTTGGTCCACAAGTCATAAAAGGGCCAAGTTTGAAGACCCCTGTTATAGAGTAATAAACTTTGATCTAGAGGAATCAGGTTGATCCTAATTTCTAGGTTTCAGAATCCACTATAAAAATAAGCAACTATCAAATCCAGGGAGGGGGAAAAAGGGTTATGCCATCAATTCCACCTCTGAGTCCTAGCTTAAGAGCTTTGATCCCATGGTATTGAGAACAGTGGTAGCATCTTTTGTTCTGCTCTATTGTCTTGGCTCTCCTATTATGATGCTAATGATGGAAATAGCAACTGTTGAAAGTCACCTCATTGGTTAAATATCTGGACAGAAGATTTGGGACCACTGATCTCTTGAATTACAGTCTTATATGTGATCTATAGTAAGTCAGAACTGTTCCAAAAAACCTGAACTTCTGAAACATTTGAACTGTGCAGGTACAAAACACCATACATTTGAACCCCAGAAGCTATAGTGAAGAAGAAGAATCTTATGAATAACACAACACAAAAACATTTCAACAAATGTGTCATAAATGGGGGGGGGGTTTACAAACACTGCTTTTCACAATAAATTCTGTGTGAAATTCAGCATATGTAATCATATGTTTGCTTGAAGCAGGAGTCTTCAAACTTGGCCCTTTTATGACTTGTGGACTTCAACTCCCAAATTCCTCAGTCAGTGTGCCTGGCTGAGGAATTCTGGGATTTGAAGTCCACAAGTCATAAAAGGACCAAGTTTGAAGACCCCTGGCTTAAAGGCAGAAAGATAACACTGAAACTGCAAAAGTCTTTCTAGGATTAGCCCTAAAGGAGTTTCTGTTTTCATCAGAACACAAGCACTAAAATGCTATTGAAAATGCTATTTTCAAGTCCAAATGTGACCTCTTAAGTAGTTGCAGTTGTGTGCCACTCAACATTTTCTTTTTTTCTTTTTTTTTTTGTATTTAAATTTTTATTATTTTTCATTTAACAAACAAAAACATAAATCTTTTATCACAATATCAACCAAAGAAAATAAAACTAAACAAAACATTCACAGACGTGTCCGGTGTACCCCTCCCGCACCACCCTCTTCCACTTACCACTCCTTCCTCCTCCCATTCTACCACCACTCCTCCTTCCTCCCTCTTTCTTACTTCCCTTCCACACTCAACCACCCGTCCTGTGCAGTTGGGGTATCACCGGACACCTCCTTAAAAAATCATACATATAAATCTATAATACAAACCTACCCTTTCCCCCCTCCCCCCCCAGGACTTCCCAAAGCTAATCTAGGAAATAAACACAGAATAATCCAAATCTATTCAAAATTACTCCCTATTACTACACACTAGTATAAACTTGCTATGACTCTAAAATAACATTAAAATACATACAAAATTTTTAATATACATCTTTTGTTAATCAAAAGCTACATAGTAATTTTTCAATTCATACTTTCTCTGAATATAATCTATCCATCTTCTCCACATTGAGATAAATTTTTCCTGAGAATGATCCTTCAGGTACGCGGATATTTTTGCCATCTCTGCAAAATGTGATACTTTCTGTCTCCAATCATCCATGGTTGGTAATATCTTTTTTTTCCAATTTTGAGCAACTAATGTCCTTGCTGCTGTTATACAATACAACATCAGTTTCATTTCTTTTTGATCCAAATTGTCCATGATACCCAATAAAAATAACTGCGGTGTAAATTTTATCTTTTTC